GCCGACACCAAGCAATTTTGTATTTTCGTTGTCCGGGCTGGTCTCGAACTCCTGGCCTTAAGTGATTTACCCGCCTCAGCCTCCCAAAGTGCTGGGATTATAGGCATGAGCCACCATGCCCAGCCTCAGAAAACTTAATTCTTACTTATTTGTTTATCGAGACAGGGTCTTACTCTGTCACCCAGGCTGAAAAGAAGTGGTGGGACCATGGCTCACTGCAACCTTGACCTCCTGAGCTCAGCCGATCCTACTGCCTCAGCTTCCTGAATAGCTAGGATTACAGGCACGCACCAGGATGCGTGACTAAAGAAAATGTAGGCCGGGCGCGGTGGCTCAAGCCTGTAATCCCAGCATTCTGGGAGGCCGAGACGGGTGGATCACGGTTTTCAAGCGTGATCGAATGACATACTGGCTAACACGGTTAAACCCGTCTCTACTAAAAATACAAAACTTAGCCGGGCGAGGTGGCAGGCGCCTGTAGTCCCAGCTACTCGGGAGGCTGAGCAGGAGAATGGCGGAACCGGGAGGCGGAGCTTGCAGTGAGCTGAGATCTGGCCACTGCACTCCAGCCTGGGTGACAGAGCGAGACTCCGTCTCAAAAAAAAAAAAAAGAAAAGAAAATGTAATTCTTTTTTTTACCTCTACCCACAAGGACATATGAAGAAAATGTTAATTTTAAATGCTACTTACATTAAAGCAGTATGTATTAACAATACTGGGCAGGCGTGGTGGCTCACGCCTGTAATACCAGCACTTTGGAGGCCGAGGCGGGGTAGTCATGAGTCAGGAGATCGACCACAGTGAAACCCATCTCTACTAAAAGTACAAAAAATTAGCTGGTGGTGGTGGGCGGGCACCACATCCCTACTCGGGAGCTGAGGCAGGAGAATGGCGTGAACCTGGGATGTGGAGCTTGCAGTGAGCAAGATCACGCACTGCACTCCAGCCTGGGCAACAGAGTGAGGACTCCTGTCAAAAAAAAAAAAAAACCACCCCACATACTTAGTAATTATAAAAACACACAGTTAAAGAATAGATGTTTTTGGCCGGGTGCGGTGGCTCACACCTGAAATCCCAGCACTTTGGGAGGCCGAGGTGGGCGGATCACGAAGTCAAGAGATTGAGACCACCCTGGCCAACACGGTGAACGCCTGTCTCTACTAAAAACACACACACACACAAAAAAAGTAGCCGGGCATGGTGGTGGGTGCCTGTAGTCCCAGCTACTCGGGAGGATCAGGGCGGAGAATGGTGTGAACCTAGGGAGGCAGAGCTTGCAGTGAGCCGCCGAGATCATGGCCACTGCACTCCATCTGGGGCAACAGGAGCAAGACTCTGTCTCAAAAAAAAAAAAAAAAAAAGAATAGATGCTTTTGGCCAGGCGCAGTGGCTCATGCCTGTAATCCCAGCACTTTGGGAGGCCGAAATGGACAGATCACAAGGTCAGGAGATTGAGACCATCCTGGCTAACAAGGTGAAACCCCATCTCTGCTAAAAATACAAAAATTAGCCAGGCATGGCAGTGGGCGCCTGTAGTCCCAGCTACTCGGGAGGCTGAGGCAGGAGAATGGTGTGAACCTGGGAGGCAGAGCTTGCAGTGAGCCAGGATTTTACCACGGCACTACAGCCTGGGCAACAGAGCAAGACTCCATCTCAAAAAAAGAAAAAGAATAGACGCTTTTGGCTGGGTACAGTGGTGCATGCCTATAATCCCAGCACTCTGGGAGGCCGAATTGGGTGGATCAGCTGAGGTCAGGAGTTTGAGACCAGCCTGGCCAACATGGCAAAACCCCATCTCTACTAAAAATACCAAAATTAGCTGGGCATGGGGGTGGACACCTGTAATTCCAGCTACTCGGCAGACTGAGGCAGGAGAATCGCTTGAACCTGGGACGGGGAAGTTGCAGTGAGCAGAGATCGCGCCACTGCACTCCAGCCTGGGCAATGCAGTGAGACTGTCTCAAAAATAAATAATCTTCTTAACAAACTGGCAAATCTAAAGAAGTGTTTCCTTGAGGACTGTGAACTGCTCTAGCAAATTAATGGAACCCAAGAAAGAGGTCGTGGGAATCTCAACTTGAAGCCAGTTGGTTAGAAGCTCTGAAGGACTGGGCTTGTGACTGGTAGGACGGATGGGTGGGACTGAACCCTAAACGTGTGGGATCTGACACCATCTTGGGTAGATGGTGTTGGAACTGAACTGGAGGACACCTAGCTGGTATCCACCGTTTGGTGTGTGGGGAAAATCCCTCTACCCCATCTTTGGTCACGAAAGTCTTCTCTTTTTTTTGAGATGGAATCTCACCCTGTCACCAGGCCAGAGTACGGCGGCATGATCTCGGCTCACCGCAACTTCCACCTCCCGGGTTCAAGCGATTCTCCTGCCTCAGCCTCCCGAGTAGCTGGGACTACAGGCACGTGCCACCCTGCTCAGCTAAATTTTTGTATTTTCAGTAGAGATGGGATTTTACCATGTTGGTCAGGATGGTCTCGATCTCTTGACCTTGCGATCTGCCCACCTCAGCCTCCCAAAGTGCTGGGATTACAGGCTAAGCCACTGGACCCAGCCACGTAAGTCTTCTTTTGTGTTGATGGTGGTTGTTGTGTGAAAGCAAAGGAAAAACCTGGGCTTGAGAGTTTTTCCCTACACAAATATGACAAGGACAAAGGAAGGAGGATTGCAGACCTGTTCTATAGCTCAAATGTATTGCTTCTCAAATGTATCCACTATAGAACCTATACAAAGAGAACTTCTCACCCTCAGGCACTCATGCCTCATTTTGTTGAAGACCCGTGTTATCTTAATCATACAGTTTTCATTCTGCTCCAAAAATGTCTGTTTTAATATTACAATATTTTTATATATATATATTTTTGAGACAGGGTCTTGCTCTGTCACCCAGGCTAGAGTGCAGTGGTGTGATCTTGGCTCACTGCAACCTCTGCCTGCCTCCTGGTTCAGGTGATTCTCCTGCCTCAGCCTCCTGAGTAGTTGGGATTACAGGCACGCACTACCATATCCAGCTAATTGTTTTGTTTTGTTTTGTTTTTTTGAGACAGTCTCGCTCTGTTGCCTGGGCTGGAGTGCAGTGATCTCGGCTCACTGCAACCTCCACCGCCCGCGTTCGAGCAATTCCCCTGCCTCAGACTCCCAAGAAACTGGGATTACAGGTGCCCGCCACTACACCTAGCTAATTTTTTATATTTTTAGTAGAGACGGGGTTTCACCATGTTGGCCAGGTTGGTCTCGAACTCCTGACTTCGTGATCCACCCACCTCGGCCTCCCAAAGTTCTGGGATTACAGGCATGAGCCATCGCGCCTGGCTTTTTTTTTTGCGGGGGCGGGGAGGAGGCGGACAAAGTCACTCTGTCGCCCAGAGTGGAGTGCAGTGGCACAATCCTGGCTCACTGTAACCTCCGCCTCCCAGGTTTAAGCAATTCTCCTGTCTCAGACTCCCAAGTAGCTGAGATTACAGGCACCCACCACCACACCCGGCTAGTTTTTGTATTTTTAGTCGAGATGGGGTTTCACCATGTTGGCCAGGCTGGTCTGGAACTCCTGACCTTAAGTGATCCACCTGCCTTGGCCTCCCAAAGTACTGGGCGTGAGCTACGTGCCCGGCCAATATTTAGTATTTAATCACTTACCAGTTAAATTACTTAACTCAGCACCTCCTCAATGAGCATAACTGAAGTTCTAAGAAGACAGGTCATGTCTATCTTGTGACTCCAAGTAATCTGAAATCATACCACCTGATTCCCTAAGAGTATTCATATCCCAATTTGAGAAACAGGGATCTAAGCAATTAAGCTAGTCATAACACTTGAAAATGATTAACATGTTCCTATAAACCCATTCCCTAAACTCTTAAAGCTTAGATTTCTCAATAGTTTTTAAATCAGCATTATTTCTTTTTTCAGCAACTTATTAGTATGCACTCTGTGTCAACACTCCTGAAAGAACCTGCAGGGCATAAGTTATTTCTGGAGCGACAGAATACTACTACAGACCTTGTACTTCCCATCTAGCAGGAAAACAAGTTGCCCATTTGGAAAATAAAGGTTTGAAGAATAACAAACTTTCATTCCTATTCCCTTCTCTTTATTTGCTCCAGGCAGAGCTTGTAAGAAAAATCTCAGTAGTCATTTAGATGATTCATTCATATAAGCTTATCTAATCTTGGCATTTGTAATTTCCACTTCTACATTCCTTTTTGCCATTACCCATGTACAATTAAATTATTTTCACATTTTTCTAGGGTCTAAAAAAGATGTGCTTTCTGATACCGTGAGAAGAGATAATTTTTACAACCAGAATCCCACTTTGTTGTTTATGAGATCCCAAAGCACAGCAGATTCCAATATTTATGAGGCCTGTTCCAAGTTTCACATAATATCCATTATATTTTATAGCAGAAATTATAGGCTAAATTAAAATAATAATTATTGTCACTCTCTGATGCAAAATGGGCAATAAGCTAGGCTAACTCAAATTATGACAATTTTTATCCAGGATACCAGGTTACCCAGTAACAGGATTCCATCTGTTTCTCATCAAAATTACAAGTAGCCACAGATCATGGACTTTCTTTTCAGTTCATTTGCCAATAATCAAAATATACATTTCAAGGGTTTCTACAGAAAAGAAACCACAATTTCCTGAGATCTTTCTATGTACATGTTCAGAATAGTACTTAACGCTTTACAAAACACATTCTCATTAAATCTGAGAATAGTCTCTGAGATTGGTGGTGTTATTCTCTCACAAGTGAGGACTACAGGAGTAGACAGGTTAAAGTAACCTGCCCTATTATTACCCAGCTAATATATCATCGTTAAGAGTTTCAAACCCAGGACTCTGATTATGAAGCCTGTATGCTCTCAATCACCTGATTCCTGCATCCTCTATACCCAAGAATTAGCCAACAAATCCTCTAACTCCAGAAGGGTTATATTACTACCATTTTTAAGATAGAAAAAAAATGGAAATAGCACTTACCTCTCCGTGGCTGCAAAGTCAGTTTGAGGAGGGAAAACAGAATCCAGCTCTCAAGCCCCTGGTCAGCAATCCATCCACTAGTGCATCTTGTTCTTTGGCTTCAGGTCCGTAATCATTCTGAAAGAAAAGCATAAATCATTTTGTGAAACACTCAATTCATACAAATACACATAGATTATAAAAAATAAAATGAGGAAAAACTGAAGACAGAAAAAATTGGGAAAGAAACAAAACACTTGTTAATGTCATGTCACTAACTGAGCCATTCCATAAATGTGCACCATCAAGCCAATAACGAAACATTCACTTATTTTTCCACACGTTTGCTAAATATATAAATGACTAAAGATTTGTAAGTAGCAAAATGGTACTCTAGGCTCACACCAGTAATCCTAACACTTTGGGAAGCCAGGGTAGGAGACTCGCCCAAGAGTTTGAGGCTGTAGTGAGCTGAGACTGTGCCACTGCATTCCAGTCTGCTTGACAAAGTGAGAGATCTTGTCCTCTCTAAAACAACAACAACAACAAAAAAACTCCACTGCAATATTGCAACCAAATAACGGCACACACACTCAAAATTCCAAAAAATTAATTATTGGCCAGGTGTGGTGGCTCACACCTGTAATCCCAGCACTTTGGGAGGCTGAGGCAGGTGGATCACGAGGTCAGGAGATCAAGACCATCCTGGCTAACGTGGTGAAACCCCGTCTCTACTAAAAATACAAAAAAATAAAAAAATTAGGCTGGACGCAGTGTCTCACACCTGTAATCCCAGCACTTTGGGAGGCTGAGGCAGGGGGATCACAGGGTCAGGAGACTGAGACCATCCTGGCTAACAAGGTGAAACCCTGTATCTACTAAAAATACAAAAATTAGCTGGGCTTGGCGGCGTGCGCCTGTAGTCCCAGCTGCTGGCGAGGCTGAGGCAGGAGAATGGTGTGAACCTGGGAGGCAGAGCTTGCAGTGAGCCGAGATCGCACCACTGTACTGCACTGCAACTCGCAGCCCTGGGCACAGAGCGAGATTCATTCTCAAAAAAAAAAAAAAAAAAAAATTAGCTTGCGCGTGGTGGCAGGCACCTGTAGTCCCCAGGCTACTTGGGAGGCTGAAGGCAAAGAAAATGGCATGAACCCAGGAGGCGGAGCTTGCAGTGAGCCGAGATGCGTGCCCACTGCTTCCATGCCTGGGCAACAGAGTGTGACTCCGTCTCAAAAAAAAAAATAACATAACAAAACAATAATAATAATTCTTAATGCTGCCATAATGGCCCCTCTAAACAGTCTATTCATCCATATCTTCAGCAAGCAGCAGTCTTACTGATTAAGTTTGTTCATGCCACAACTAAAGGCTATGCTTTCCAGTTTAGTAAGATAACTGAGGAGGCCGAGTAAAGTGGGTGGATCACCTGAGGTTAGGAGTTTGAGAACAGCCTGAACTACATGGTGAAACCCCATCTCTACTAAAAGTACAAAAATTAGTCAGGCGTGGTGGCGCACACCTGCAATCCCAGCTACTCAGGAGGCTGAGGCAGGAGAATTGCTTGAACCCAGGAGCTGGAGGTTGGAGTGAGCCGAGATCACGCCACTGTACTCCAGCCTGGGCAACAGAGCAAGATTCCGTCTTTAAAAAACTGGCAGAAGGAGCTTTTATGGAGCTTTGAAAATCCTAGAAGCGAGGCGGGAGGATAGCTTGAGCCCAGGAGTTCGCGACCTGCCTGGGTAATATAGCAAGACCCCGTTCTCCACAAAAAGGAAAAAAAAAAAGACAAAAAAAAAAAAAAAAAAAAAGAAAATCCTAGAAGCAGAGCAATGAAACAGTTTTTTTTAGTCAAATAATGGAAATGACTTGTGAGATGGCTCTTTGCACCCAAACTTAACAAAAAGAAGTGGTTCTAAGTGCTTTTCGAGTCAGAAAAGGTAGCAGTAGAACTATGTCTGTAGGACAGAGACAAAAAAAAAAAAAAAAAAAAAAAAAGCAAATCCCAGGCCAGGCATAATGAATGGCTCACACCTGTAATCCCAGCACTTTGGGAGGCCAAGGTGGGCAGATCACGAGGTAAAGAAATTGAGACCATCCTGGCCAACATAGTGAAACCCTGTCTCTACTAAAAATACAAAAATTAGCTGGGCATGGTGGCGCGAGCCTGTAGCCCTAGCTACTCATACTCAGGAGGCTGAGGCAGGAGAATCGTTTGAACACAGGAGGCAGAGTTGCAGTGAGCCAAGATCGTGCCACTGCATTCCAGCCTGGCGACAGAGTGAGACTTTGTCTCAAAGAAAGAAAAAAAGAAAATCCCAAGTGAAACAAACAGCTAAATTTGAATTAAGTGTTTCCAAATAGGCTGGGGAAAGTGGCTCACACCTGTAATCTCAGCACTTTGGGAAGCCAAGGCGGGCAGATCATGAGGTCAAGGGTTCGAGACCAGCCTGACCAACATGGTGAAACCCTGTCTCTACTTAAAAAAACACAAAAATTAGCCAGACATAGTGGTGCACGCCTGTTATCCCAGCTACTGAGGAGGCTGAGGCAGAAGAATTGCTTGAACCCAGGAAGCAGAGGTTTCAGTGAGCTGAGATCGCACCACTGCACTCCAGCCTGGGTGACAGAGCAAGACTTAGTCCCCAAAAAAAAAAAAAAAAAAGTTTCCAAATAATATGGCCAGGTGTGATGGCTCACACCAGCAATCCCAGCACTTTGGGAGGCCATGGTAGAGGACTGCTCAAGCCTAGGAGTTTGAAGCCAGTTGGGGCACCGTGGCTCATGCCTGTAATCCCAGCACTTTGGGAGGCCGAGCCAGGTGGATCATGAGGTTAGGAGTTCAAGACCACCCTGGCCAACGTGGTGAAAAAACCTGGTCTCTACTAAAGATACAAAAACTAGCTGGGCATGGTGGCACACGCCTGTAATCCCAGCTTCTCAGGAGGCTGAGGCAGGAGAACTGGTTGAACCTGGAAGACGGAGGTTGCGGTGGGCCATCATCGCGCCACTGCACTCCAGCCTGGGTGACAGAGCAAGACTTCGTCTCAGGGAAGAAGAAGAAAAAAAAAGGCCAGGCACGGTGGCTCACGTCTGCAGTCCGAGCACTTTGGGAGGTTGAGGTGGGTGGATAACCTGAGGTCAGGAGTTCCAGACCAGCCTGGCCAACATGGTGAAACCCTGTCTCTACTAAAAATACAAAAATTAGCTGGACACGGTGGCAGGCACCTGTAATCCCAGCTACTTGCGAGGCTGAAGCAGGAGAATCACTTGAACCTGGGAGGCCGAGTTTGCACTGAGCCCAGAACATGCCACTGCACTCCAGCCTGTGCGACCAAGCAAAGTCCATCTTAAAAAATATATATATATGCACACATATACACATATATACACACAAGTGTGTGTGTGTGTATATATACATATATATAAGCCAGGCATGGTGGTGTGTGCCTGTGGTCCCGGCTACTTGGAAGGCTGAGGTTGGAGGATCACTTGGGGGAGGTGGGGGACAAGACTGCAGTGAGCCATGATCACACCACTGCACTGCAGTGCGGGCAACAGGGTGACAACCTGTCTCAAAAAAAAAAAAAAAAAAAAAGCCCAGTATGGTGGCTCACAGCTGTAATGTCAACACTTTGGGAAGCTGAGGTGGGAGACTTGCTTGAGCCCAGGAGTTCAAGACCAGCCTGAGCAACATAGTAGGATCCTGTCTCTACAAAAAAATTTTAAAAAATCAGCTGGGCATGGTGGCACACGCCAATAGTATCAGCTACTTGGGAGGCTGCAGCAGGAAGACTGCTTGAGCCCAGGAGTTCAAGGCTGCAGTGAGCTATGATCATGCCACTGCACTCTAACCTGGGCAACAGAGTAAGACCCTGCCTCAATTAAAATGTATTTTTAAAAAAGTTTCCAAACAATTTGGCATATGAGGTACATCTTCTAAGAGGAAATCCATCTCACAATTAGCTAAACTCCACAAAACTAACTGATATAATACTCTCTTAGATGAAGCTAGTCTCCTCTGTTGAGAGACAATTTTTAGTAACAGAAATAGGTGATTAGTGTAGTTAGTCCAAGCAATACTTCTGTATTGAAGTCCGTTATTATTACTAGCATACCTCAAAGGGAATGAAATTTTCTGCCCCCGAAAATTCCAAGAGTGACCAAAAACAAGGATCACGTGTGAAAGAATATCATCCTAACCCTGATCTTTGGACTGTATTTTGGCAGTCTATATGCAGTGCCACACCTTTGCATTCAAATATTAAATCACTGAGAAAATGCACAAAGATACTAGCAGGGAAGATACAAAGACAGACTACACAAAGTTTACAGGTGTTTAAAAAAAAATGGGCTGGGCACAGTGGCTCACACCTAATCCCAGAACTTTGGGAGGCCAAGGCAGACAGATTGCTTGAGCCCACGACTTTGAGACCAGCCTAGGTAGGCAACATGACAAAAACCTGTCTCTAGAAAAAATTAGTCCCAGCTACCCAGGAAGCTGAGGTGGCAGGATCATTTGAGCCAGGGAGGTGGAGGCTGCAGCGAGCTGTGATCACACCACTGCACTCCAGTCTAGGTAAAAGAGCAAGACCCTGTCTTAAAACAAACAAAACAAAACAAAAAAACCCCACAGGCTGGGTGTGGTGGCTCACACCTGTAATCTCAGAACTTTGGGAGGCCAAGGCAGGCAGATCACAAGGTCAGGAGATCGAAACCATCCTGGTTAACACAGTGAAACCCAGCCTCTACTAAAAATACAAAACATTAGCCGGGCATGGTGGTGGGCGCCTATAGTCCTCCCAGCTACTCAGGAGGTTGAGGCAAGACAATGGCGTGAACCCAGGAGGCAGAGCTTGCAGTGAGCCAAGATCATGCCACTGCACTCCAGCCTGGGAGACAGAGCGAGACTCCATCTCAAGAAAAAAAAAAAAACCCACAACAACAACAAAATAAATGCGGTAAGACAAATCTTTTTTTTTTTTTTTTTTTTGAGACACAGTCTCACTCTGTCAACCAGGCTGGAGTGCAATGGCGCGATCTCAACTCACTGCAACCTCTGCCTCCAGGGTTCAAGCGATTCTCCTGCCTCAGCCTCCTGAGCAGCTGGGATTACAGACACATGCCACCACGCCCAGCTATTTTTTGTGTTTTTAGTACAGATGGGGTCTCACCATGTTGGCCAGGCTGGTCTCAAACTCCTGACCTCAGGTGATCCGCCCGCCTCAGCCTCCCAAAGTGCTGGGATTACAGGTGTAAGCTACCATGTCCCACCTACAAATCTACACATCAGTTGAGAACCATGGTCTTCAAAGTTATACATTATTTGCCATTACTGTTCTTTTTTAAATCATAATGCATCTGAGTTGTTTGAAGAGGGGTCTAATTGTTGGCAAAACAGTCATCTGGAGCCAAGACAGGTAAATTAGGCAGACAGATGGTCTAGTTTTAAAAAATTAGGTGGATTCTATAACATAGATGATGTGGAGTGGTTGTGACAGCAGCAGCATCCCTGAAGCAAAAAAAAGAGTCTCTAGAGGTGACTCTTGGCCAGCAAGCACCAGCCTACAAGGCTCTGCCCAAGATTCCACCCCAGGGCCTTAAGTCAGTCACAAGTGGCTTCCACCAAGGAACTCCCCAAGCCACTCACAAGTCCCAGGTGAGTGCCCTCATTTGCATGTGTACTTTAAAATAAAACCCTAAAGCTCTTAGAATTTGAATGCATCTTAAGGATAATTTCACCTCCTAAATTCTTACATAGGTTGAATAGATCCCGCTAAAGTTAACCTTTACAACTACTCTTTTTTTTTTGAGATGGAGTCTCGCTCTGTTGCCCAGGCTGGAGTGCTGTGGCGCGATCTGGGCTCACTGCAACCTCCACCTTCTAGGTTCAAGCGATTCTCCTGCCTCAGCCTCCCTAGTAGCTTGGACTACAGTGCATGCCACCATGCCTGGCT